TTCTTAATGCCACTATCCAAATCATTTCTGCAGATATTGAATAAAATTGGACCCAGGACAGATCCCTGTGGGACTCCACTTAATATAACCTTCCAGCGTGACTGTGAACCATTGATAATTACTCTGAGTATGGTTTTCCAACCAGTTGTGCATCCACCTTATAGTAGGTTTCAGAATAACAGCCGTGTTAGTCTGTATTCGCAAAAAGAAAATGAGTACTTGTGGCACCTTAGAGACTAACCAATTTATTTGAGCATAAGCATTCATGAGCTACAGCTCACTTCATCTTTCGTGAGCTACAGCTCACTTCATCTGATGAAGGTGTAGCTCACGAAAGCTTATGCTAAATAAATTGGTTAGTCTCTAAGGTGCCACAAATACACATTTTCTTTTTGCACCTTATAGTAGGCCTTCTCTTCTGTGTATTTATTAATGTGGCTCTTTTTTAATAACCTGTTTTATAAGAGAAAGTTTTTACCAAATGATTTTTACAGCAGTAGCTTTTTCATGGAGAGTCTTTCCAGAAACACTGGCTAAAAGCATCCTCTAGTCCAAAATAAATTAAATTATGCCTGCAAATGAGTCACAAACCAGTGTAAAATATATGCCTGGAAAGCAATTTAGTAATAGAGGTTTGACATTAAAAATAGTTTGAGTAATTTAAACAGTTTGATGGTGCCTTTCAATGTAGGGGTCCTCCAATCCAAATCACTGCGAATACTATGCTCCTTGAGGAAAATCACTCAGAACTCCATATTAAGGTCAAATTGTGCCTTAAGTAACAGCAATGTAATCCCATTTTATTTTAGTGGATTTATTTAGGGTATGAATCAGCAGGGAATTTGATCTAAATTTGTGTGTAGGAATGCAGAGATTATATTTACGAGACCATTTTATGCCCATCCCCCCCAGGTTGTGAAACATTTTCAGCATGTCTGCGAAATACATAGGATCTGATTTTTAGCTCTGCCTCAACCAAGCATTTGTTTTTGTTGATGCAATTTACTGTCCATAAGTAATGGCTCCCACATTAAATTCAAATACCAGCAGTATTGTCAACGCCAAGCATTCAGAAATCAAGTCAGGCCCCCAAACACCATGAGATTGATTTAAGAATCATGGGATTATTAATCTAATTTAAAATATTTAAAATAATGCATTTTATGTTCTTTTCTTTTGCCTGCTGGTGCCTGAGCCCTTAGGGTCACAGTAGCTTCACATTTTCAAACTTTTCTCTGGAACCATGAGGCCTAGAAACCGACTTTAAAAAAAAAAGAAAAGAAAAAGAAAACCTGAGACTCTTATGCAATCCCTTGATTCCAGTATCTGGGGCCTTAAGAAAAACACCAAATACCATGAGACTTGTGATAAAATCATGAGAGTCGTAATACTCTAGTGGCTAAGCATCTAAGGCTGTGTCTACACTACAAACTTTGGTAGATGCAAGTTACACTGACATAAAACCACAGTTCGTATATCACTTGTGCATTTGCATACTTGGTTCTTTGCATTGTCACTGTGTGCACTCATCAGGAGTGCTTGTGTTGATACACAGTGTGGAGCACCATGGTAGCTATCCCAGTGTGCAAGCCGCCAGCACACTGTCTTTTGGGAAGTTTTGGCAATGCGTGGTGGGGCAGAAACAAGACATGCAGGGGTGACTGGGAGCAAGGGGTCAACTTCCCAGCATGCAACTGTCCCCATCACATAATGTCATCTATATCCCATAATTTTCATGCTTTTTAAAAAAAATCCCAAGAACCCACGTGACTCACCACCCCTTGCTGTCTGCCACCAGTGACAGAAGCATCTAACCTGCACAGCTCTGCCCTATTGTGAAAAGAGTTGCAAGAACGGAATGCATAATCCTCTGGTATTTGCAGAGTCGTAGGAAGAATGGCATCATTGGGGAACTTGACAATTTCTTGGAGGACAGATTGCTGTGGTGTTACCTGGGGTTCTTTCAACCCAGAGCTCTTGGTAACTTTTACTCTGTGTGAGGTGGTATCAGGAAATAAATCAGGGGAGACACGATCGTCCAGGATAGATGGCTGACACGAACAGGACAACACAAGCATGCTTTCACTTAAAGCTAAACTTTACTTAGTCTCAAGCACTTATACACACATCTGCAACAGGTTAGTAAAACACCCCCAACCCTTGATAATTACCAAAGCTGAGTGTGGCTCTGGAGTGGCACAGCGGTAATCCATCTGCCAGTGGGAAACACAAGAGGCATCCAGAGAGAGAGAGTCCAGTCCTGAAGAGTCCCCCTACCTCAAACTTTTCCCCCTTATTTATACATTAGTAATAGAATGACATGTCCCTTAAAGCAAACTTGTTAAGTAAGCAGTTTCAATGGTCAAGTGAGAGGTTCCTTCTGATTATCAATTAACCAGGTGTGGGTTTTTCCAGAGTTTGCGGCCCTGAGGCCCCAATAGACATTCCTGGGGCACATTCTGCTCTTCTAAGATGCATGTATCAGCAACTTCAACACAATTCTTATCAGGAAGGACGTGGGGTCAAGCTGCCCTCTCTGTGGCATCCACCCCGCTTGGTTAAACTGAGACTGCTGGATGGCCAATTTACAGCCTGCTGACTTGGCTGCTTTTAGCAATAAGCCATAGTGGTTTTAGGCACTTTACTGGTTTGCCAAAGTCTCCCTATACAGTGGGACACATTTGGCACAAAAAGTGAGTGTGTGCTAATAAGATTTGTGGAAGACACAAAGCTGGGAAGTATTGCCAGCATGGCATAGCCAAGATGATCTTGAAACCTGGAGTAACAGAAATGGAATTAAATGTAGTGGTGCAAGGTACGAGATCATGCACTTAGGTACTTACGTTCTGGTTTATAGCAAAAATTATTGTTTTATCAGTGACTGTGGCAGAGAAAGACCTGGGTTCATTGGTCAATGACAGGATGACTATGAGCCATCAATGTGAGGCAACTGTGAAAAAACCTAATGCAATTCTAGGATGCATGAGGTGAGAGATTTCCAGTAGAGACAAGGAAGTGTTATTACTATTATACAAGGCACTGGTGAGACCTCATCTGGAATACTGTGTGCAATTCTGGTTTCCCATGGTTAAGAAAGATTAATTGAAAGTGGAACAAGTGCAGTGAAGGGCTAGTAGGATGATCAGAGGAATGGAAAACCTATCTTCTGAGAGGAGACTTAAGGAGCTTGGCTTGCTTAGCCTAACCAGAAGAAGGCTGAGGGGAGATACAATTGCATTCTATAAATACATCAGAAGGATAAACACCAGGAGGGAGAGAACTTATTGAAGTTAAGGGTCAATATTGGCATTAGAACAAATGGATATAAACTGGCCATGAACAAGTTTGGGCTGGAAATTAGACAAAGATTTCTAACCATCAAAGGAGTGAAGTTCTGCAACGGCCTCCCAAGGGGAGCAGTTGGTTCAAAAAACTAACTGGTTTCAAGACTGAACTTGATAAGGGGATGGAGGCCAATGGCATGTGGCCTGTCTGCGGCTGCTAGTAGCAAATATCTCCAACGGCTGGAGATGGGGCACAAGATAGGGAGAACTCTGAGTTACTAAAGAGGATGCCTTCCAAGGTGTCAGGCTGCTGGGTTTTAGGGTCTAACTAATCACCGTATATAGGGTCAGAAAGGAATTTCCCCCCAGGTCAGACTGGAAGGGACCCTGGGTTTTTTTTGCCTGCCTCTGCAACATAGGGCACAGATCACTTGCTGGTATGAATTAGAGGAAATGGTGGATTATCTGTAACTGAAAGTGTTTAAATCATGATTTGAGGACTTCAGTAACTCAGCCAGAGGTTAGGGGTCTTTTACAGGAGTGGGTGTTTGAGACTCTGTTGCCTGTGATGTGCAGGAGTCCAGACTATAAGATCATAACGGTTCCTTCTAGCCTTAAAGTTTGAGTCTATAAAACAATATGCATTGGGTGAGTGAGCTCGGAAGAGACAAGAATAAGAGACCACGTCAATATTATTTAAGGGAAGGGGAATTCTAGCTGCCTTGTCCTGATGTGGCTTTGGATCCTCATTCGTGTTAACCATGATTGTGAACTGTGCTCACACATCATGCTAGCACAGGCTGCTTCAGTGAGTGGGAAGCCCCGCCTCCGAATCTCTGCTTGGTTTCTTGCTGTAGTCTGTGCAGTACCATCGTCACACATCAAGAATGCTCGTAATACTCCATTATTTGGCAAAACATGTAGCAGCAAGAATATATTTTTCTACTGTAGGATGATCTAGCAGTATATTTATCAGATTTCTAAGATGCAGGTAGACAGGAAACTCCAGGTTATCTCAGAATCAGCACATTTAACTGTATCCTGATCTGACCTCTCTAGATTTATAAAACCAGGTTTGCAGACACTTTACTACAGGGTTAATCTGGATTTTGCTATCCATTCCTCTTTCGCAGAAGCAGTTTCCATGCCGCTCATTTAAAAATCCTCTGTTCGTTTAGCACCCCTTCCTTCCAATTCAGATTAATTTTTTTCACAACTTCCCTTGGAGTTTGGCTATCAGCAGAATTTGTAAGAGACAACTGAAGAAAAGTCTCATGAGAACCTTAATTGGTCATCCCTATTTGAAGTAATAAACACAACATAGTGTATAAGGAGCAGACTGCTAATAAATGTTTAAAGAATCAGAATACCAAACACTTGTATCAATGTGCTAGAAACCCCAGTTGCTATTTAACAGCATAGTTGTAACTGCAGAGTGCCTGATCCCTTTCTGAGACTCTCCTGGCAACCTGTGTTCATATATTCAAAGCAATGCTGGATGGGCTTTGTGGTTTGAGAGTGTTGCAGGGCTAATCCCTCTGGTTCTTTGATTATGAGCATGTGCAGAGCAGCCCAGCGTACGGCATGTGCATGTAGAGCTAACACAGAGCCTTGTGTTGCAATGCCATGTTTCCGTATGTGTTCCAGCAACTGAAAAACATTTGGGGAGGCTGCCTGCTTTATTGACTATCTGATGTTTTCTTGTTTCTGTTTCAGCATTCAGGATCATTCCTTCAACAATACAGCATTAGCAGAGTAAGTGAATAAATATATATACCTGTACCATTAAATAAGTAAATAAGAATATGTTAAGCAGGGCAGAGAATAATTTTAAATACTATTTCCAAAGTGAAAAAGCTTTTTGTAACATTTTATGGTGCACGGTCTTCTGTGATTTTAATATTTATTGAAAATATGCTGAATATGACATAAAACAATATTTACATATGGTTAACTATCCATTAGCAATGGGGTAGCATTATGAAAGAATATCTTTGTTGCTGTTTTCTGCCTTATATATCTTACATGTGTTTGAATATATGATTGTATGTATACTGTACATCTCATGAGAAAATATTGCTAATTCTTCTTTCTGATGATCATGACAAGTAAAAGTGTCAGTTTTCTAAGAGCACATGGGCTATGCTTACTGTCAGCATTGGCAGAAAATATTCGTTAAGCATGTTTTGAGCAAAACACTACATTATTTAGACAGGTTCAGTATCTGAATGCAGTTTCCCTTTGCAATTAATGCAGTAAACTTTTTACACGCACTTTCCCCCCACTTCGGTTTTAAAGAAATATGTTTTGGCTTTTTATCTTAAGAAGGTGGACAGACAGCAGAACAGTAGAAAACATCGTAAAGTTACAAACACTGAGATGTCATTAACAATTTAAAAATTAAATATACTTCTGGTTTTCCTTAAAGGAACATGCTTTAATTTCAGATGTGACTATTGTGTATTATTCATTGACATTAGTATAGCTCTTTTTGGCTCTGAAAAATATGCATTGTGACCCTGTTTGTGTATTTTATCCCCAAATTTCACACACACTTGATTATATTTCAGAAGACTGCTCAGCTAAATTGTGGCCAGCAGTTTGTCAGAAGGGAGATAATTTTATAGATTAGCTTGCATGTAAGGTACATTTCAGATTGCCGAAATGCTGGGAATAAAAAGCCTAAGTTGATTGTGAGCTGTTTGCTAAAAGGTTGCAGGGGATATTATATATTTTGAAAGCAGTGGAGGTTGTAACTCAGTTTGAGCAATCCATACGTGCTGTCAAACTGACTAGAGAAGAACGGATGTAACATTTTTCTAGGGATTCCAAACACCTTTAACCTCCTATATACCTCTCTCTTTGCTTCATGTATGTATTTTATCCCATTTTAGTAGTGCTACAGTAATCAGCATGAAATTAAATGGCATAAAAAATCAGAAAATGGTTTTTAATATTATTTTTAATTAGTTTTGCCACTATACATTTCTACCTTTAAATGCTGTATTGTGGGACAGCGAGGTCTAAAATGAAGGACAACATGTGGGACTTTCCAAATGAGGGACGAAGTAGGACATCACATTTTTAATACTTTCCCCACCCCTTCTCAACCTCAGTCCTTCAACGGCTCCTTTCTCTTCCTCAGCCTCAGGGCTTCCCCCTGCCTGTGCACATCTTTGCCTTTCCCCTGGTCATGCCACTAGGACCAATGGTGCAAGTCTTTCTCTGCCAGGCTTCCTGTCACCATCTAGAGGAAGCATTGCAGAGAGGCCTGCTTTGTAGTGCCAGTGTAAGCCACACACCTCCTGGGTGTGGTGTTCTGTTCCATCTAGTGGGGGTGGGGGAAGAGACTGATTTGATTGAGCAACAGCCTTCGCTAAGAGCTGGTTGGCTTTTAGCTCATGTAGTAGAGGCTCTTGCACTAAGCTCCAGAGGCCTCAGGTTTGATCCCGATGACCAGGGTCTTGTCGGCGTTACAAGCAGGGGCTTGTCCGGGATTTCAACTGGGAAGTCTCTGAAGCTCGGAACGCACTTCCTCAGCTAGGGGAAATATGTAACCCACACACCACCTGGGTGTGGTGTTCTGTCCTATCTAGTGGCACCGAGACCACTTAGAGGTTGAGTCTGCTCTACAGCCTTAGCTAAAAGCCAAAGAAAAGGACTACTTGTGGCAGAAATAAATGTGTTAGCCTCTAAGGTGCCACAAGTACTCCTTTTCTTTTGAGAATACAGACTAACACGGCTGCTACTCTGAAGCTAATAGTCAGTTGCCTTTTAGCTCATGTGGTAGAGGCTCATGCACTAAGCTCCAAAAGCCTCAGGTTTGATCCCGCCCGCCGACGACTGGGGTCTGTTGGCGTTACCCTTCCTCCTCCTTTTCCCTATTGGCAGTGCTAGTATATGTGCACAGCAGCCACTACTGCAGTGGGACCTGGTGGCAACCGGGCGGAATAGCAGGTCCTTGGTCCAAAGGCATCTGAGAAATGGTATATCCCACTTAGTGTGGGGCACTGGAGAAGTTTGCTAGAGCACAGTAGAAACAGAACCCTGTTTTCACATCGAATTTGTCCTTTTCTTCTTTATTTTTAGCAAGTTTATAAACCCTGGGGGCTTGAAACATTCTTTTAAAAAACCTGCTTGGGCCAGAATTGTCAAACTTGGGTGCTAAAGTTAGACGCTTTTATCCCTACTTACGCATTGAAATAAAAGATGCCAGATTTTCAGAGGTTCTGAGAACACACAGCTCCCATTGACTTCAGTGCAAATTGTTCATGCTGCGCACTTCTGAAAATGAGGTCACTTCTATTTAGCAGAGTAAATGAGGATCTAGGTACCTAACTTTAGGCATCCAATCTTGGTCTTACATTCTGAAGCACACTTCTGTTGCAAGGGGCAGATGCTCCAGAATCCTACAGTACACAGGACCTTGATATAAAACATCAAATTTCACTTTTTTCCAGGGACCTTTCTCAAGATAAGCCAAAAGTCCAGAGCTGCCAGTCTCCTTGTGGACTATATGTGCATCTGGTGAATGAGAAGTTACTGTTTATATCGGGGTGGTCAAACTTTCTGGCCCAAGGGCCACATCGGGGTGCAAAACTGTATGGCGGGCTGGGTAGGGAAGGCTGTGTCCCACAAACAGCCTGGCTTCCACCCCTGCACACTATCTGCCCCCTCCCACTTCCCGCCCACTGACTGTCCCCCTCGGAACCCCCAACCCATCCAACCCACCCTGCTCCTTGTTCCCTGACTGCCCCCTCCTTGGACACCCCCCCCCGCCACTCCCTGTCCCCTGACTGCCGTGACCTATCCACACCCCCACCCCCTGACAGGCCCCCTGGGACCCCACCCCCATCCAACTCTCCCTGCTCCCTGTCCCCTGACTGCCCCCCCGGGACCCCCTACCCAACCCCCCCCACTGCTGCGCACCACCGCACCATGCCACTCAGAGTGGCAGGAGCTTTCAGCCCCACTGCGTGCGTGGCGACGTGGCTGCAAGGGGGAGAGAACAGCAGGGGAGGGGCTGGGGATTAGCCTCCAGGGCTAGGACCTTAGGGGTCGGGCAGGACGGTCCTGTGGGCTGGATGTGGCCCCCAGGCCGTAGTTTGCCCACCTCTGGTTTATATGCATGTCTTAAATATCATAGCCTCAAAATAGATACAGCTTTCCAGGTCCTCGGAAAGGACAAAGAAGGAACAAATCACAATACATCCACTAAATCCCACATTCTTTGGAAAAACAGTACATAGGAATTGCCATATTGGATTGGATCTGTCCATCTAGTAGCTCTGCTGTCTCTGATCATCTGGTGCCAGATGTGTCAGATGAAGGTCATTAATGGAATAACCTACCATTAAGGGACATCTCCCTGCTCTTAAAAAAAAAAAGCTATATAGTGTAACAGTGGATATTTTCATTTTCCATGTAGTGCAATGCACTAATCCTTTTTAAAATCCTGCTAGGGTCTTAGCCTCAAGCAATATCTTGTGACAGTGCATTTCACAGATTAACTTGGTATTTATTTTTAAACAACATTTTTTATCAGTTTTAAATTTGATACCTTTTAATTTCATTGCCCCCTTGTTCTTATGAGCTGAGTAAATAGAAACACCCAATTGTCTTCTCTATGCTATTCATTATTTTGTGTATTTCTATACTGTCCCCCTGGATTAACAGTCCTCATCATATAATGTTCACATAGGTGTCTTATAATTCTGTTTTTATTTATTATTTCAACCAATTACCTGTACTGAAGTAAAGTTCAGTGCTCTGTAGTTCACAGGATCACCCCTGAGCAAACTCGGTGGAACCAACACACAGGGGATTTGCTTAGTAGAGGGGAGAATCCCCAGGGCGTTCAGTTGATGTATGTATGCTGCATCTCTCACAGTCCCTTCATGTAGGGGATGTTCCTGGTGAAGAGAGCCATGGCCACGAGTGCCTACATGCTCTGACTATTCTTGGCTGTCAGAGTGGTCCCTTAGAGCCACAGAGAGCCAGGTATGAGTAAGAGCAGCTCAAATTGGCCACCAGAACAGGAGAAATGTAAAGATGGTATAAAGCTACCTTTTCCTCTGGGTCTCTGTTCCCGTTACAAGCTTAGCTTGGAATGGCGAAACCAGGCCACTGTAGAGCTTCTATTCAAAGCAGGGTGGAAACCCTATCTACTGGCATTCTTAATTGATTCAGATATGCCCCAGCCAAGCCACACAACCTCCCCACCCAATAATTGCTCCTCTCCTAAACCGGTCCAGGCCTCTCACTTATTTTAGTCTCCTGTGGGGAGCTTTGGTGGCATTCTGCTCCCTTCTGGTGTCTTCACTGGGCTGATTAGCAGGGCCATTCCACCTCTGTCAAGGAACATTATTCCTCTCTATCTCCTCTCCTTGTGTTCTCCCATCTCTTTCCTTTCCCTGATTTTCCCCTTCTAAGTTCCCAACTCCTATCCCCAAATTTTCCAACTGATTTTTCCCTTCCCAATTTTAGATGAAGATTTCTTCTGGCAAGTGGCTTTCTCCCTTTAACACTGGTTAGCTGGAGAGTGGCTCTCAGGGCCACTCCCCTACCAGTATCAAACCATAGGAGAATAGAGGAGGCAATACTCCTCTGACAACAGGAGCTCTATGGAGAGGCTTGCCATTGGAACTGTTTCTGCAACTGCAATGTATTACTCAGTATACATTGCTTCTCTTCCTTGTCTGCAGTTCTATAGGCAGAATCCAAGCATGGGGGTCATACTCATGCCCAAACAAAGGCGCTCAGTAATTTTAAAGAGAAAAAATATTTTTTCCTTTTAAAAGAAATGCACTCAAGGCATCCTCAGTGGGTGCGTTTATTAACTCCTCCCCCTCTCGCCCCCCCTCTAAAAAATAGGTAGGTCAATGCAGGAAGTGTAAACAGCTTGAGAGAGTATCCCTTTAAATAATTTCATCATCAGCTTGCCTGTTGATAAAGATACCAGCAGAAGACTGGCAGGGAGAGGAGCATAGTAAAATCTTACCATCAAATTGCCATGCAGGGATACACGTTTATCATTTAACGTGTTCTTTCCAGAGCCAGGCGGCTTTCGTCAATAATTAATTAATCAATTGAATTACAGGTTGCTTCCCACATAATGAATAGATTCTTCTGCCAGCTAGCATCAAGTAATCCAGGCCTGTTAAGTGTTTGTGCAGTGTGAGTATGAGCAGAGGGTGAGGAGAAGGGAGTGGGGGGGGGTGGGAGGGGCAAACATTTGTCCAGAATTAATAGAATGGAAGGTAGAATCTTCTTTATATCAGGGTCTAGATGGGAAGAGAAGCCCCCATTGTGCATTGCAGTTTGGATCAGCAGATTGTCTTGCACTGAGCATTGCAAAGTTAATCTATACTTGATGTCATTCTGAATCTCTGGTCAACAGTTGGGTATTTAACTGTTTTTAACTGTTTTTTCGGCATTTTCTCCTTATTATGCTAGTTTTGCTTTAGGAATACTTAATTCTATTGAGATTTGATCTCAATGTTTTGGATTATTTTTCACCTCAGTAATTTAATTTATACTGGGATTTTTTTCCAGTAGCATTACAAAGGCCAACTGCTCTACAACTGTTAATTTCTTTAATAGGTCTTGGAGGAAAAACTGCACTGTGTGTTAATTACTGTTTATAATACTTTGAGCAAAGTAGGCTATTAGCAATTAAAAAGGAGGATGTCTCCTTTATTTTCTACAATTTTTACAGTAGAAGCTGCATTTTATTTCTAGTAAGACAAAGGAGAGAGAGCAAATGGTGTATCTAATTCTGTAGAAAATCAGATTTTAAAATATCACAACAAACTTTGCAAACAGAGAAACTATGCTATGAATTGACTTCAGTTAAAGCTTGAGAAAGAGGAATGTTTAGATAATTGTACGTGTCACTTCAAACTGACCAGTTTTGTTACTGAAAAGATAAAGTGTACAACTGGCAGAAAGTGAATAATGATTTTATATCCATTTTCAAGGTGTGAAGAGGATACAGAGTCTGTACATGAAGACCAAGCAGCAAACTCCATCCACAGGTATTTACTCTATATCTTATCTGAAAACCCTTGGCAAGGGATCTGACTTTTCTCTTTCATCCCCATCTATCAGGGATCATCTGTTAATGGTACCCAAAAACTCAAGGAACATCATCGCTGTGAATAAAAAATCTTCTAAATTACAGAATAGTTTAGTTTAAGTATTTTTGAGATGAAAATCACCCACGGTATATTTGTGTATTTCTGCTTTTGGACAACACAGCTTAACATTCCAGACAATTTAAAATTTAGACAATTTAAAACCAACTGTATTTCAATATATTTATAGAACTGTCCATACAAGAGAGAGCAATCCACCCAGTAACAATAATAGCTACCCTGGACCAAACTTTCTATCCACAACCCATTTCCCTGGGGGAAAAGTTGGGGTTCGCACTGTGCCTACAAGGTTAACACATCCGGGCTCTAGTGAGCCAAGCAGGGAAAAGCTGGTTCATTAGCTGGGGTCCCAACACAGAGAACGCTGTGTCAACAGACTACTCTCTATTAAACTCCTGAGGGGCTCCAACTGAAGCATCTCTGATAATCTCAGCTCTGGGAGTTCAGACAGGGAAAGAGGTGATCTCGCAGGTAGTCAGGTCACAGATCCTAGGGCTTTATTGGTTAAAACTGACATCCTGGCTTCTATCTGAAAACTGGCAGCCAGTGTAGAGTACAGAGCATGGCCAGTAACCTATTCTCTCATGATGCACTGCTTAATAAGTGGGCAGCCCTACTCTCTCACTAGCTTAAATTTCCGAATGGTTTTGATGTGTAGTTCTATACAGAGTATATTAAAGGAGTCTAACCTCGAAGTAACAAAGGCATGGATAACTACAGCAAAGTCTGCATCTGGGTGGAAAGGTTGTACTCTGCTTGCCAAAGATGGAAGACTTCTGTCCTAGCCCCAGCTTTTACCTGAGCTCTCAAGAGTGTCCCAGGGTCTAATTAAACCACCGAGACTGTGAGTTGCTGTTCTGCATGGTAACCCTTTCCTGCAATCGGGATTCTGATATAATTTTCACCAACTTATCCAGCTGCCTACCACAAACTACCAACCTTATCTCATTTTTTTTCTGGACTAAGATACGGGGTTGGGGTGGGGGAAAGGAGTGTGAGTGGTGGATGCCTTCCTCTAGGGAGTGACAATGACTGCCTGTGAGGGAGTGGAGGGAAGGGCAGCAGTATGGCTGGGAACATGTCTGGAAGCCCACGAGGTAGGAAAAATGAGACTGGCATGCTTTCCCGCCTCTCAGCTCAAAACCTAGCCTACTCTGGCTGTCCAAATCCTACTTCATGTGCCCTTCTCTCTCCCTTATTTCAATAGACATGGAGGAAATCTAGTAGCCCATAGGAAAGGTAAGAAACTAAGTGGAAAGAGCAAGAAGATATGAAAGGAGGGGGAAGGGAGTTTGCAGAAAGAGGTCATGGATGTAGGAAGGAACGGTTTGTGTGAGAAGAAAGACCAAAATACTAGAAGAGCTACAGCCCTGCTAAACTAATGGCTTCCGAAGCCTGTGGCATTAGGTGATTATATGGGAAAAGATGCTTTTGACTTTTCGTAGGGAAGGCAAAAAGTAGCATCTCTAAGGCCATGTCTATGCTACAAACATTGGTTGATGCAAGTTACGTTGGCATAAAGCTGCCACAGTTAGTATATCACTCATGCATGTGCACTTGGCTCCTTGTGTTGGCTTTGCATGTACTCATCAGGAGTACTTGGGTCAATGTGCGGTATCTTAGTGTGCAACTCACCACCATCTGGAGCACTGTCTCTTGGGAAACTTTGACACTGCATAGTAGGGCAGAAGTGAGTTGCATAGGGGTGACTGGGAGCAAGGGGTCAAGTTCACATCAATCAGCTTTCTCCATTCTATAATGCCGTCCCTACCCCATAATTTTCAGGCCTTTTTTAAAAATCCCACAAAACCCAGCAGCACTTCTGTCTGTCTGCCATCTCTGACAGAAGCATGGAGCCTGAGCTCCCAAGAGTGTCTCAGGGTCTAATTAAACCACTCTTCACTATTGCACTATTGTCATGAGAACTGCAAACACAGGACGAATGATCTCTGGTATTTGCAGAGCCATAGGAAGAACCTCAGCAGTGGGGGGACATGACAATTTTGTGGAGGATAGATTGCTGTGGGACATAGCAAGAACCAATTCAAGGTTGTTGGTGGCATTCACGGGGAAGCTGCAGACAGTAGAGTGCTGCTTCTGGGCCTAAGAAACGATCTCTGACTGCTGAGAATGCATTGTAATGCAGGTTCAGGATGATCAGCAGTAGCTCTAGAATATTCAGATGTGAAAGGCTACGTTCCTGGACCTGGATGCTGAGCTCTTCCCAGCTCTAGTGCAGGGATACCAGAATAAGATGCACTGACAGTTGACAAGCGAGTGGCGATTGCACTGTGGAAACTTGCAACTCCCAATTGCTGCCAGTCAGTAGGAAACCATTTTGGAGTTGGAAAATCCACATGTCATGCAAGTATGCAGGGCCATTAATTGTGTCGTGCTACGCAAGACTGTGACTCTCAGTAATGTACGTGATATAGTGGGGCTCCCAAACTGCGGTGGTGCAATAGATATCACGTGTATCCCTATTTTGGCAACAGACCACCTTGCCCCAGAGTACTTCAACAGAAAGGGCTACTTTTCTATGGTTATGCAACCCTTGTGGATCACCAGGGATGCTTCACTGACATCAGTGTGGACTGGTCAGGGAAGGTTCATTACACACACATCTTTGTGAACATAGGACTGTTCAGAAAGCTGCAAGCAGGGACATTTTTTCATGACCAGCAGATTACCGTTGGTGATGATAAAAGCCAGTAGTGATCCTGGAGGACCCAGTCTATCCCTTGCTTCCTTGGCTTATGAAGTCATACACCAGCCACCTGAACAACACCAAGGAAAGATTCAGCTACCAGCTCAGCAGGGGCAGAATGGCAGCTGAATGTATTTTGGTGGCTGAAGGGATGCTGGTGGTGTTTATGCACAAGACTGGATTTCTGCAAGAGAAAAAAAACAGTGGTTATAGGTACCTGTTGTGTCCTGCATAATATCTGTGAAACAAAGGGGGAAAAATTGCTGCCATGGTGGAGATGGAGTGTCTGTCCCCTGAGTTTGCACAGCCAGCCACAAAGGCTATTAGAGCTCAATGCGGAGCTGTACAATCAGGGGAGGCCTTGAAAGAGCACTTTAGCAGTCAGCCTCAGCAATGCACTGGGTGGACTGTGCTCTACGTGTCCTGAAATTTTGGGGGCTGTTAGGAACTGTATAGTGCTTGGTGTACATTTATTAATATAACACTGTCTGGTAATGTGCCTATTAATTATATGGTGCTTGCTGTGAATTTATAATTATTACACTATGTTTGTCACTGATCCTATGAGTTTTTTGACCTCTACAATAACAGGTAGTGGGAGCTTTCAGTAGTGCTATGCATTCTTCAGCATATGTTATGAAATAATACAGATCAATTATTTACCAAAAATAGATTTTTATTACATAACAAAACCAGTGCAAAAAAAGTGCAATTAAAAAGACATTCAATAAAAACTTCTAAAATAAATTAATGGAACAGAACTTAATAAGGGGACAGAACATTCATGTCCATTTCAGTCCATTTTGGCTACCCATACAGCAACTGTGACTCTCACAAGCTATGGTTTTCCTACTGTCCCTTGATGTGCTCCCTGTCCTTTTTCTGCTGGGACTCCTGGGCCTTTCTTCTGTCTGCTCTTTCTTTCTCCAGGCTGTCTGCAATGTTCACCCACCAAGTACTCTGTTCACGGTCCAATGCAGCACTGGTTTGCATGATCTTGATGAACATCTCCTCCTGTGTCCTCTTCTTTCTCCTCCTTATCATGGTCAGGCAATCTGTGGGTATGGAGGAATACACTGGCAGCATCTATGGATAAACACACAGAGGTTTCATTGTTTGTATAGTGACAGCAGAAAGCACAAGTTAAGTTTCAGAACTTCCTTCCCTTTCTCTCCCTAACATTTTAAACAAGACATGCTTATTGCTACTTCCGCCTTGGAGCACCTGTGCACGACATGGCTATCCAATCCCAGCCATGGTGAGTATGGCCAAGGGCAGGTGTAGGGAAGGGGGGGATATGAGGAAAGAATTGTTTGGTGGCATGCAACAGTAAAATTTTGGCCCTATTTCTATGTATATGAGTGCATGTTAATGGTAGTGAGCATCAGTGCTGTTCTTCCCAGGTGATGGTGATTTTAGCTATCTCACTCCTGAGGGTAACGAAGGCATAGAGAGCACAACAGCTACTTGTGTTCCTAAGCCACCTGGACCCATACTCTGCTAGCCTGTTTACTGCAGTGGTACCTGATGAAGTCAACAGAGACCGGTGTGGGAACGTGTCCTATCACGGAGCAATAAGGCTGTCAATACTAGAAACCTTCAGAAGAAGATTGCAGAGTACCTCCAAGAAAGTTGCAACAAGATCTCTCTCAGGAGAATTCAAGGCACATACCTGTGTCTATAAACCAAGTACTGCTCATGGGCAGCCCAGCTAACTCTGCAGGGAATGACAGCAAATAACAGCTCCGCCTCTCTTAGTTATATTGTTACCTCTTCTAGTATAAGTCAATACCTGTGTCCTGCTATGCTGGGGTCAGGCACCAACTTGACATTTCAACATTACAATGGGAAATGCCTGCATATGCTTACCTGAAGTTCCTTCCCCTGAATAGGGCTCACCCATAGGAAGTTACTGGACTGTGTGGAGTCTTGGGCAGATTCTGGCTCGCAGCATAGCTGGACCCCACAGTTGCTTGTCCCCCATCTTCCTCCTCCTTGCCATTCACAACAAGGGGTCTGTGTCTTGGGCTCATTGGAGGGATCCACGTCACGCTGTGGGATGCTGGTGGGGTCTCCTGCCAAGTATGCAGATCATTTTAAAAACAGCAGGTCTGTGGCACCAAATCGACTTTTGAGCTCCCTGGCCTTCTGGCAGGCCTGCTGCAGTTCCTTTGCTTTTACACAGCCTTGCTGCTGATCCCTGATGTGCCCCTTCGCTGCCTGTCGATGTCCATGTTTCTACAACTACTCCGTAGCTATGCTTGCACAGCCTCTTCTCCCCACAGGCCTAGATGTTCATCTAAAGCATGGCGTGGCGTCAGCATGGTCAGTTGGGCAGTTGCACACAAGAAGGAAGAGCTGCTAGATGTGCATGTCGAGCTGCTAGATGTGCATGTCGAGTTGGGCAATCGGGAAAAGGCATTTCAAAAATATGCAGGGTTTATAAAGGGAGGGGGGCTGGCTTCTGCTCCCCAGGACCACAGGGCTATAGCGGTCAGTGTCAGGCATTGTGGCACAGCTTCTGGACGACTGCTAGGGTTGGCATAGATCACGGTGTCTGCACTCACACTATGTCGAGCGCAGTAGATCGACCATGGCTCAAAGCCATTTGGGGAGCTGGTGTTACTGTGTTGCTGGAACAGGATGCTTACATCAGCGAGAAACACATTTGAATATAGATGTATGCACAACTAGGTCAGTGAAAGGCAACTTATGTCGACTTACCTTTGTAGTGTAGCTCAGGCCTCACTGAGGCCACATAGTTTACAGGCACCTAAATTACAGTTGCTTAAGTTACTCTGTATACAAATGTGTACTAATGCATTTAGCATATGGTCTGATAATAAACTCCAGACTATAATGGAGACTTGTTTTATTAATGTACACAATGTTTAGCTCGTATATGTCCTTACCCTGGCAATGCTAACATATCAAAACTGAGACTTTGGCACCAGTCCTCCTCAGTATTGTTCTGAGAGATGGCTAAAATCCTGCCTTACACCTTTTGGTTTTATTTTCTTCTAGAGATGAAAACAACAAAGAAAACTATCCCAACAATACTACAGTCTTAGAGGACAGCCAGCCAGCATTACAAGACACCCAGCAGCACGTGGAACAGACAGCCCATGACTGCACACTACGGGTTGGAATGGGCAACTTAAAATTAAGAAAGCCCAAAACCATTGCAAAACTAGAAAATGGGAAAAACCATGAAGAAAGTCAGGTAATAAAATAAAGCTGATCTGTTTTTGCTAGATATTTATGGTGCAGTGTCATAGCAGGAATATGTTTTAAATGCAAAGTGATGCAAATGATAGCATTATTAATCCCTGCTCTGACTCACCTCCACAATGATTTGGGCCATGTATCTGACGCAAGTGACACTGCAGTTGAAGTAATTCTTTCAGTAAGGGAATCATGCAGAATCAGTGAGAATTCCCTGACATAGTGATTGTGAATCCACAACTTCTCACTGCTGTGAGTAAGGTTGTCACAGTATGGCCCATAGTGAGGATGTGCAAATTATTTCTCCTTCTGAGTTATCTTCTTGTATTTCCTGGATGTGCTGGAATAATGGCAAGATCTTTCTCTTTTGTGGCTTGTGCTAGAGATTTAAACTGGGGTCTATGTCAAACCTCTAAATGCTGTAATGTTTTATTAATTCTTAATTATTAGGAGATATTTGGTAAGGTGGCTGGAAGATGTTATATCTCATCCCTTTATCCCATTCAGTAGTATGAAAAATTAGTGAAAATAATATACTCGGGGTATGTCTACACTACAGCTGAGAGTGACTCTCCCAGAAAGGGTAGACAGACTCTCACTGGTGTATCAGGAAAAGCAGCTCATCATGAGGGCATAAAGTAAGGTGGAGAGATGATTGGTCTCTTACCCTCTTGTTAATTATTTTTCTTGCTACCCTGAGTCTGGAGGGGAAACCCCCCCAATAAACCATGACTTTTCCTGTGATACAGTGCTTGGATTGGGAAACAAAAAAGTGATGAGTTCCACTCATACCTGCTGTTCCCCAGGTCCTGTTTCCAATCAGTGAGAAGCGTGGGTACCATTCTGCCCCCACCTCTGAACTGAGCACTGATGCAGTATAGTATCTCAGCGAACAGAATTAGCACTATGAATATGATTCGTCCCCACATAAAATAAATGTTACTTCATCACAGGAAGTTAAAGTACCCTCATCACTGATTAGGTTATACTTTGGGCCCTGATCCAGCAATGAGCTCTCCAGGGGGAGACCTCTTTGACTCATTGATTTCAGTGGAGTCTGCCCACATGGAACAGTTTGCTGGATTGAGGCTTTCTGGGAAAAAGGCGCACATTTTACAAACTCCTAGTTCACTCTCATATAAGAGAATATGCATTCAGTAAGCCCCATCTGCAGGCCCGGTGTGGCTGCATGAGCCTCTAGATTTGTTTTGTTGTTTTCTTGAACCAAGTGCACATCTGGCACCCAGGCTGTTGTTTAAAGTGCTTATGAAAAGTAAGGGCTCTGCTTGTAGAAATGTTCAGGGGCAGGTTTTCAAGTCAAGAGCTCCAATATACTATAACCTTCAAACTCTAAAGCGCTTTGTCTGTTTTACTAACTGATTGTATCTAATCTGCTTCTTTCCATTCTGACTCTCTGCTTTACTTGAAATTGAAAACAAAGTGTTGTTGTTTTTCTAGTAGCTGCTGATTATATGGCAAGTTGTCATTATCTTGAAAAAGGGAAAGAGACTGATGATTTGAAACAGTGTGCTACTGTGCACGCCTGGGCTCCTTCTAAACATATTGCCACCACCAAGCCTCTCAGCAAGCTCACAACTGTACACATAAGGCAGCCAATATGCATCTGACTGGCTCTGCTGCCTAATTTTGTTCATTTGAAAATGAAAATGAGAGTGCTCTCCACAAAATGATTGTCATTCTAGCTCAAGTGATTCCCTATTTTTATTGACACAGAATGTTCCTTTAATGACATCCTCTCCCCAATTTCACTCCTACAATGCGTAAAGAAGCATTTATTCAAATCATGACAATATCTAATTACAGATTTTGCTTTGACATACCAGAGATTTGATGATTATTCACATCTCTGTGTTAGTAGCTACTAAGCTCTGAGCAGTTGCAACACCTTGAGCTGCTCCTGACAGAATTTAGCTCTTTAATAACAGAACAAGTATTGAGCTATTGAGAGTTAGGGACAGAATTGGTGCACTTATTTGATACACAGCAATCTGTGTGCATAGGGCCAGAGTCTATAAGTTTCCATCAGTGGAAACCCAGATGCATGGCTATGGTAGTGGAAAGGCTGTGTAGAGGGAGCGGTATCTCTGTATACATAAAAGAATAGGGCAGAAATTACAGGTGAACTGGTGCTGGGACATGTTGCAATGGCAGAGGTAAATCCTAGAAAAGTAACAGGATGTCAGACTAAAGAGCAAAATAAAAATAGCACATGGCCAAAAATAAATCTATAAATGTTTATATGCCAATGCAAGAAACTTACAAGGATGGGAGTAGGTGGGAAAGCAAACTAGAATACCTGGCAATGGAGCTTGATACGTGATCACATTTCGAAAGACCTCAGCACTCAGTTCCCGTTCTTGCCAGTGGGAGCTGTTTAGCATTGCGCACTACTGAAAATCTGGCCATTCATTAAGATGTCCAAAAGTGAGCCTGAGTTCTTTTGAACATATAGCCCATAATGGGCATTGTGAAACTTGAACAAATTTCAGAGATCAGTGGGATACTGGGATATGTGGCTATGAACTGAACAGGAAGGACAGATGTGGGAGAGAAGCATGAAACCTAAAAGATTCTATAGAGCTAGGGCTGGTCAATTTTCATGACATTTTTTCTAGGAAAAAAATGGAAACAAAGCATTTCAGAGTGGAGCCCTCTGATTTTTATTTTGAAAGGACTGTTTTAAAAAATATTATTTTATATTGGTTTGTAGTTTGTGTATATTAATTTTTATTTTATATTATATTTTAATTTAAAAACCATTATTAAGCCCTTGTTTTAAAATAATATAAAATTATATAATACAATAAAGCATGCAAATAAAACAAAAATGTAAAAAAGCCAAACATTTTTATTAACCCAAAAGAAAATTTTTCAGAAATTTCATTTTGTGGCAAATATTAAAACTTTGATTTTTTCATTCTGATAATTTTGAAATGCCAGAATTTCCTGTAGATAGAAATTTTGACCAGCGCTATATAGAATCTAATGTGATAACATGTCTGAGTGAAGAGGACTATGTAGTTGAATCTGTACAGACACAAATGCCATGTGATAGACACAAATATACTAGTAGGGAGTATTGTAGCCTGCTATAAAGATGATTTAGAGACAACTTTGCACATAACGCAGAACTAGACCAAAGAATTTAATAGAGAATAATAGCCTTTCCATGGGCATTTTGAGCTGTACTGTAGATTTCAATAGCTGGTATATAATTCTCGATTAAATCCTAGTTGACAGTTCACAACAGTTACACAGAAATTATCATCTTCTGTTTAAAATCTATACATGTTTTTCTGTAAGGGTATGAAGACCTCGCATAAACCCCACCTACCAGAAAGCCTAAGGGGCGGGCAGTGTGGCATCACAACCTATCCTCCCTTAATGCGAATCCATTCTAGGGAATATGGGCAGGGGCATCAAGCACAGGGAGGTGAATTTACATCTCCATCAAACAGTTTGAGTGCATCAGGGAGAAGGCTCAGGGGAGACTTGATCAGACTATAAGAACCTACACAGGGAGCAGAAATTTGACAATACAGTGCTCTTCAATCTCTCAGACAAAGGTATAACAAGAACCAAAGGCTGGGAGTTGAACCTAGACAAATTCAGACTGGAAATAAAGTGCATTAATGGAGAGGGTAATTAACTATTGGAGAAACCTACCCAGGGTTGTGGTGGATTCTTTATGTCTGGAAATTTTTAAATCAAGATTGAAAATTTTTTCTAAAAGATATGCTCTAGCTCAAGCACAGCTGTTGGATTTGAAACAGGAATTAATACAGGGAAGTCCTATGGCCAGATTTCAGCAGGAGGTCAGAGTAGATCATCACAATGGTCCTTTCTGGCCTTAAAATCTGTGGATCTATAAATGGTTCCTATGGTCTATATCTGTTTTGTTTCCCAGAGCCACTTTAGTGATTCTGAAGTATTAATCTACTATAAATCAAATGTTATGGGCCATTGGAATACCAAAATCAAGTATGTACAGTATATAGTCTGGAGAGACAATATAAGAAGTGAGGTTTTGGAATTCAAAGTCTGCTTTTCTTGATTAATCCCCTTCCTCTGTAGCTCATCTTTGATTCACATTAACATGAATTTGGATTATGAAATGATTCACCTTTAAATTCTTTACTGATTCTGAGCTCACCAGCTAATAAGTAGAGCAAATAAGTCCTATTTCTCAGTCTAATCGCTAGGGTAAAGGACTAAGAAAAGTAAATGGTAACTTGACACAAATCCCAAGAAACAGAAATGCAGATGCTACATGAAATTCAGTACTTTGGTATAAATTAAATGGAAAAATACATTAATACAAAAGCACCCCTATTAATTCAACATTAAAGTTATGGTTTTAAACACACAAGAGTCAGAGAACTGAGTAATGCAGCTATGTCAATATACACCGGCTGTGGGTGGCTTAGGCATGAAATTCTCACCAAGGTTTTAACTCTGCATCCATGCATAGATATATTTTTAACAGCATCTTTCATGACTTGATCATAGCTATTGATCAGTGAGGTAAAAAGAAAACTGGGTGCTCTGAGAAGGAGAGAGCATGTGGTTTCTGTCTCCGGCCAACCTTTTCTATGGGCAGGGCACCCTGCCTGTGGCCTTCTAGGACTTGCATGAAGTAAAAATGTTGCTGGAAGGAGTCCAGGGTGATCCTTGCATTGTTGTGCACCCCCAACATTTTCACTGTTTGATTTCCATATAAACCAGTTGCAGCGATTTGTAACTTTTTAAAGGCAATACTATAATGATACCTATTGGTACACTACCTATTTCTTATCCTGTTTGGAGTGGCTTGCATCCCAGGGGAGCTGCCAGCTTGGAGCAGTCCCACGTTCAGGACTCAGAGCGAACAATTGCAATTGTGCCAGGTTTCTGAGTGGGAGAGCCAAAGAAGGAAGGCCTCAGCAGTCTCCCGCTTTGTGTACGGTACCTGTGCATGGGCTAGGAGTTCTTTGCTCTTTGGGCTAGGAGTTCTTTGGTGTTCTCACCTTTTAAAGAGCAAACAGTACTTTAACAGGGTACCATGTAGGCACGATTTTGCTAGTGTTAAAATTCACCACAAGAATGCAATTAAATAAGTGAATGTGGTATTCACTACTGATTCCTTAAATGAGCTGATGAGGATGAGGCAAATGAGTTGAAAGGTTCAGAAAACACCAAGATGCACTATTTTATGCATCCATTAACGTTTTAAGGACCTCCTCCAGTGCCTGGCTGTTTTTATCTTACCACCTGTGACATTGGTCTGGGTGATCCCCAAAATAAGAGGCCTTCTGTCACGGTCTGCCCTGTAACCTTGGGTGTGTTAATGCTGTGCTGCTATGGATCAGATCCCTGACAGCAGCAGCAAAAAAGACTCACTCTGACATATACTCTCCTCATAATTTGCACACCAGAGACCTGCTTGGGGTAAAAAAAACCACAAACCCTAAAAGCTTATTTGAGAGAAAAAAATCATAGATGAAATAGCAGGGGAAGCAAACATACAAGTTGCACAGAAAATAAACATAAAGACACAACCTCAGGCTTTACACCTCTATATTAGGTAAAATCTCTTCTCTAATACAAGTTACCTATTGCCTTTGAACAGTTTCCCAGTGTACCCCCTAATGTATAGAGGGGATACAGCATTTTACAGGCTCCTGCCTGACTGCCGACCACCCCACTGTGAGATGGAGCTGAATGTTACAGCACAAATTATGAGCACCATTTATATATTCACTAACATTTTAAATTCATAACCACAGTCTGTAAACATATCTCATAATGATTGTTAAGTTCAGAACATTACCTGCTTTCATAAAAGGCCTTAGTTGACATATATTTATAGCACAATGACATTGTGTACGATCAGTTGATTCAACTGCTTTTTGGGGGAGGGGGGTTTCAACCTGCCTGTTCTCCCCATGGGGTGTCTGGACCCTGACTGACACTTAGCCATGACACCTTGTGCTTTGATACTATCAGATTTCATAAGTCAAAGAAAGTGGGTCCAGTTCAAGATTTGGATGGGAGATGTGTGTTAAATTGTACATATGGTTCAGCAGAAGACATTCTTCCCTCCAGGTCTGTACAAAACAGCCTCAGCATAATAGCAGGAAGGGACACTGCACTATCAGAGATGCTCTCTTTCAGGTGAAATGTAAAATCGAGGTCCTGAACACATGTGGTTTATAAGGAGCCAATTGCATCTTTCTAAGAAAAGTGTACATCATTTTAGGATTATGGTGTAACCCTAACAGAAACAAACTTGATTTTTAGGCAATTTTGTACCAGAATTGTGCTTTTGTAGTGCAACAAAATCCAACCTTTGTGTGTCAAGGGCATCCAATAGTATTATATTTCATTGTAATGTATTTGTTTCTCCTTATCTTTGGGTTAAGATTTATGAATGTTGCGTGTGGTAAATGGCATGTGAAAAAGAAATCTCTGGTCACTGCCGAGAAGACACAGTGCTGTGTAATCACTACTGTGGTATTTGCTGTACACTTGACACACTATTCAGGCAACAAGAAAATATCATTCTTCTTAAAAAATCTGAAGATAAATCAGTTTGGGATATTCCTTTTTCCTTCCATGAGCTAAAACTTCTGGAAGAGACACACAAAACATCCTGATATGCTGGGTCCCCGTTCTGCCAGTGCTTTTTAATTACTGGGTAAAAATGAAATAAATTCTAAAAAATAAATGTGTACATGTTTAAGTGAATTAAGTTGGGTTTCTGTTGCCTTTCAATTCATTGCCCCAGTCACAACAAACTGAAACTGATGGTGGTGGTACCAGGAAGTCCAAGAGAAGATTGCATGGCTGAGGGTTGCTTATGAGAGAAAGGGAAGCCTTTTACAATTATACAAGGGGACAGATTTTGCTCTTCTTTACAAAGGATCTTCCCCATGTGCTGAACTCTTATGGTCCAACTCAGCCTTGGAAGGTCGAACTAGCTAATCTAGTGGTGGAGCATAGACAGTGGAGGACAGAGGGTTTTGTGACTTCACTGGAACTTAGGAGATGTCTGTATAAGTGCAAATTCTGCTACAGACTTACTGCATGACCTTGGGCAAGTCACTAACTCTCACCAGGCCTCAGTTCCCCTTACGTAAAATGGTGCTGATAATACTTCCTTTCTTCCACACTTTCTCTTGTCTATGTAGATGGTAATCTCTTCGGGGCAGGGACTGTTTCTCACTACGTGTATGTACAGCATCTAGCACAATACAGTCCTTGTCTCATCTGGGGCCTCTCACTGCTGTTGTAACACAAATAATAGTAAAATGCCTATTCTGCCCAAGGACTACAAAACATCCCAAGGTTTGGGGGTAAATAGAGTCAGCTGAACTGGTTCAGCCTGCTTTTACCTTGAGCTTTAATTAAAACAGTTGTGTTGACCTATTCTGTCTCCAAGAGTATATCATCATTTTATATAACCCAGGGAAAATCTTGTTTAGCTAATAATGGAAAAACTGGAACAGCTGCAAAAAGTGCCAGTCACTGTAATGTGGATCTCTGTTACCATTTTTGGATAAAATATTATTCATTCAATGCTAAACTAAATTAAATAAATACAGGGGGATCTATGTCATAAAGCTCTGAAGGACATTTTTTTAAAAAAGGAAACTAACAAACAAGGTTTCTTAGTAACCCCATGAAAGTCAAGTAGCATATTATCTTGCCCAGAACAAATGGTAGTTGGCATGCACCAAAGCCGTCTTATACATGAATCAAAAATATTGTTATAGTGTCCTAGGCTGCTGCAGTAAACATAGTGACAGTAGATCTTGCAGGTTCTGAATGATCACTTCTTGGACTTGAGGTTCTATCCTGAAGTAGAAACCACAAGTATAATCTCTTCTTATTAGCAACTTGAGGCCTGATTCCTGTCCCACTTACTCCACTCTGAATCAGGAATAACTCAATTGAACTCATCCCTCAACATAAAAAACTTCAAAGGGACATCCACTGAGAGTATCTCCTAAGCAGAGACATTTTAGAAATTGCCTTAAATTCTGTAGTTTTTGAATAGGCAACAGTGTGAACAGATGTGTGTTCATGTAAAGATGGGTTCCCAATATAGTGCACATTTAAACAAACCTCATGGGTAATGTGTCAGACACAGGGCAGACAGAGAAGCAAATGAAAACAGGCATTTTTGCTGTTGAAGCAGTAGGGGTCTCTGAGGTATATGAACCCTACATGGCAACCACCAAAAATAGGTTGATGACAGCGCTACATTTGTAATGAAAGAGTTGCTGGGACTCCAGCAGGTTTTTTTTTTTTTACTTTTATAACTGATGAGGCAAGCCTAGAGGTGCCAAGACACCTGGCTCAACCCTGGAACAAATTAAGCACTGGTTGATGGACAGAGTGTCTACCTCCACTCCTGTGACTAATTGCCTGAGTAGCAACAGCTGGAGTGAAAGCCTTCCACCCAGGCAGAAGGAATCAGCTGACAGAGTGGGTGAGGAGTACCCTGAGAAACTTCTCAGCAAGGGTTGGCAATGAACCACCTAAGGTACGGACCCAGCAACTCCCGCAGAGGGTAGGGTGAGATTGCTGGGAATAGCAGCTAGGTGGATTTCTTTCCCTCCACCCTACAAAGTAGGGGAAAGGGTTGGACTTAGAGGTCTATGTAGTCAGGCCCTTAGCTTAGGACAGGGAGCTAAAGAATAGCCAACATTGGCCAGAAAACTAGGAGAACAAGGTCTTAAAGGTCTAGAGTACCTTTTCGTTGCTCCTGGACAGAGAGGAGGGGGCTTCATTCTGCAAACTCTTCCATGAGTAGTCTCACTGAAGTCATTCGGTGGATTTCTAGGGTTGGGCCCTAAAACAGCAGCAAAATAAAATACTCTAGCAGTGGAAACAAACATGTTACTGTGCAAAGTACATTTATTTTCAGATTTCTAAATTGCTAGCATAATAATGGAGAAGAAAAAATTTATTTGCCCTTTTAAATTTTCAGAACACTGTATCAACTTACTAATCTTTATAACACCCCTGTGTGATAGGGAGGTATTATTACTCCATTTTACACATAACAAAACTGAGGCAGAGACTGTTTGTTTGAGTGACTAATTCAAGTCCACAGGGCTAGGTATTGAGACCCTGAGCTAAAATTCAAGCCTTCCTAATTCCCAGTCCTGGATTCCATTCACGAAACCAACCTGGTTTCCCCCCCCCCCCCCGACACACAGCATCCCCATGGCAAGGTGACTGAATCAACAGATTCCGTCCCACGCACCTTCCCTCACTCTAAAGTAAGATTTTTATTAGTAAATAAAGTAAATTAGTAAACTGAAAAAATCAGTTGCAAATTTGAAAGCTGATCCTACAAACCCTTACTCATATGAACCAAGATTACTTTTGTGAGTCAGGGTTTTCAAGATGGGGCCCATACTAGAAATCTTTCTCGTTATTTGATTGAATGATCTGGAATCAAATATAAATATTTATAGATAAACATATTGAGCAGTAAGTGTAGGACACACATTGATGTCTGCTGTCTAAATAATGAATGAATAGAAACAGAAGATTTGTCCCATTGGTTCTTTTTGTACACAATCTGCTTTCAGAAAACATTGTACAATGAAGAATGACAGTGGTTTGGGACCTTTTATAGTTATTGCTATCCATTTGTTATTACCATAGTCAGGGGAATAACTCCTTAAAAAATCAGTATAGAGCATTTCCCCCCCCTGCCTCCCGCCCCATGAGCTTTGTTTCCTTCAGCTGTTTTTTGTGTTGTTTTTTTTTTTTTAAAGCAAAATGTACATATCAGCCAGGCCTGTGCTGACAGGGTGCTCTGTTGGTTTCTGCAGGAGAAGGAGAATGTATTGCCAGGATTCTCAGAATGTCAGGGGAAAACAGGAATGTCTGCTAATGACTACACCCAGAACGTGGCTTTCAGATGCCAGGAAACAGTCGTAAACCTTCAACCAAGGTAGGCTTTAACTGCAAGAAATGCCAATGTGTATGCTGCCTGCTGTATAAAATATTCAAGTTCCTGACTTTCATTGGCAGTTGTATTCTTTATTTAGAGTCCTAGAGCTGTTCACAGATAGTAAAGCGGATGGAGATAACATACTTCTTTAACTTTAAATTTCCAAGCAAGATGAACATTTGTTCCCTCATCTTAATTCAGAACTTTCAATTCCCTTGGGCCAGTTTCAGAAACATCCTGTCACTTTCCCCTCCTCCCTTGCCTCACTGATTCTCAGATCTGTGTTTCTACTGAGAAGTCAGGGAATGGCAAGCGCAGGCATAGTTTTGATACTGTGATTCACTTAGGGATAAATCAGGCCCTGAATGCAGTGGAATCAGTCTAGTTCCATCAGGGAGGGTCCCATGCAGTGCAGCCCCACACCCTGTTCACCTCAGAGCTCAATGGGGATTCCTTGGGCCCTACACAAGAGGTGTTTGCAGTGCAGGGGACTACACAGATTCATGTCCTAACTCACCCCCATTTAATGGGGCACAGCAATTTGGGAGCTACTGTAGCCAAAGATCCATAGCAGCTATGAAGCAGCCTAGAGGAAGGACTCCTTTCTGTTTCAGCCTACATAGCCTCCCCAGTGTCCAATGTGTTCACGTAGATTATGTCACAAGGAGAAGATTTGGCCCTTATTGACAGGATTGGATTCAGTGTTGAGGATTACACTGTGCTGAGCCTGCAGTTCTTGAGTCACCACTTTAAAAATCAGTCTGAAACACCAGATCTCTTACAGGATGGCTCAACACCACTAAGCTGGATATAATGGTTCTCTTGGGTGAACGTAGGAGTGACTGTCTTGTATATTTTCTTTTTTCACTGTCTCAAGTGGCACCCCGCGTTTAGTACTTTTAGTGCCTGAATCAGGAGAGGGTACCAACCCCAGTCACTCTGAAGTCCCTAGTGCCAACTGTTCATAAAAACACGCTGAGTAGTGTCCCTACTGCATCTTGCTGGAGAATATTATCCAATCTATGCAAGGGGCCAAGTGGCAAGAGGAGTCAGGAAAAGAATCACTTTTTAGAGGGCCTGTAGAAGCAGCTTTCTTCCCCAGAGTGCTGGATGGGTCAGGGGACAGCTCATGGAAATATATAGTGCTTTTCCCTTCTCAGGCACTGGTTCAAATTGGGACTAGGTTAGTAGTGACAATTCTAGTCTAATGGCAGTTTGGTGCTTTATGTGAAATAAGCTGATCGCCTTCAGTTATGTTTTTTAGTAGGCAACCATCCCAAATGACACTAATTCACACTCTTGGGCGCAGTCTTAATAGAGTAGCCGAGGATTTAATTGGCTTTCAAAGTGAACTGCTTTCAGCCTCTACGGCTGGTATCCCCAGTATAAGTTGATGCACAGTAATGTGGGCTAGATCCATTCAGGCTTCTGCGGGTCTAATACCTGAGGGAGGGCACTAATAAATTATCCAAGGGACAGTGGTGCAAAAATGCTGCAACTGGCTTATGGCAGGGTGGATGTAGAGGGCTAGCGCGGGCTAAAAGGTTAATTGGTCAGTGGGAGTATGTGATCGTGACAGAAATCAGGGAGGGTGCTGATGCCAGCGGTACACCCTGGCATAGGCCTGGATCTTAAAGCTATTTAGGTGGCTAACTGCCATTGATTTCAATGGGTGTTAGATAGCTAAATACATTTGAGGATCTGGGCCACAGTTCCCCTGGCAGGAAGCTGCTGGTTGCCTTCACTGTGCTAGAAGGAGGAACTCAAGGAGGTTAGTCGCTAGAAGGAGGAACTCACTGAGGTGAGTTCTTGGGACTTACCTATCAGAGAAAGGTGTAATTCATAGCTCCCTGTACTACATTAAGTGAATCTGTCCCCTGGTATCTAACTTGTATAAGTTTTGCGAGCTCATGTTCAATCTCCCAATTTGAACCAGTGTCTTAAGAGTTGAAAACTACTATGCATTTTCATTAGGTGTGCCCTGACCCATGTCCTAGGTAGCTAAACGACGCTTAGGAAATTTTCTCTGACACAGAAGCTTAAATGAACATACCATAAGGCAGCAAGGCTAAGAAAATGACTTGTTATGGTCATTCCTTTTGTTAAAGTTTACTTAAAATACTGAGCACAATGGCATCCCTCATTTCAGAATTCAGATACTTATAGCACAGCATTTCTAAAACTGGGGTGCGTGGACCCCTGGGCTGTGGCTCCTAGGTGGGGGGGCAGAGGGGTCTCTGCACACTGCGCCTGCCCACAGGCACACACACACCCCCGCCGCAACTCCCATTGGCCACAGTTCCTGGCCAATGGGAGCTGCAGAATCGACGCTCAGGGCGGGGGCAGCACGCCCCCCTGCACCTCCCCCTCACCTAGGAGCCACAGCCAGAGGAATGTGCCGGTTGCTTTCGGGAGCATCCTGAGGTAAGCTCCTCACCCTCTCCCACAACCCAACCCCCCTGCCCCAGCCCAGAGCCTGCACCCAAACTCCCTCCCAGAGCCCATGTCCCCTCCTGAACTCAAACCCCTTCCCCAGCCTGGTGAAAGTGAGTGAGGGTGGATGAGAGGGAGCGACAGAGGGGGGGCAATGGAGTGAGCAGGGGTGGGGCCTCGGAGAAGGGGCAGGGGTGGGGCACCAGGGAAGGAGTGCGGAAGGGGCCAGGCAAGGGCTGGTGCGGGCGGTTGGTGGTCCCTGAAAAATTTTTAATCAAAATGTGGGTCCTTGGGTTGCTAAAGTTTAACAACCGCTTAATATAGCCAATATTTATAGCTGAAGGCAATTACTCAATCAGTTCTGGATGGGATGAAGGAGGGGTCTTGTGATTAAGGCACAGGACAGGGGGTGAGGAGGTGCTGGCTAACTATGTCCCAGACTTTCTGTGTGTCCTTGAGCAAATCATTTACTTCCTTTGTGTCTCATCTTTTCTATCTGTAAAATGGGGACATTAATACTTACTTTCCTAACTTGCAGTGGTGTTATGAGGGTAGCCTCTTTAATGTTTGTGGGCAGGCTGAGGTCCTTGGTCTGAAGGTGCTGTAGAAATTCTTATTTACTTTGTTCTTCTAAGAAGATTCCCTTTATGGATGTGATATCATAGCTGTTCTTTAAAAAAAGAAGTTAAAGTGAGAAATGGTAATTGCGGGCAGAGCTGATAGCACTGCCTCTAGTTGTTTGCATAACACTTTCCACTACAGTAAAACCCCTATTTTATTAATTAACTGGGAATTGAGGTGTTCATAAAATTAAACATCTCAAAATTACAGTATGTACCACGTGTAAGTTAATTTAATATAATGATAATGTGTATATTTCTTACCATTCAATGCATACAGTGTGCCTATTACAATCTTGCTAATGGATTGCACTACATCAAACAGTACTATACATACATACCGTGCTGTTAGTGTCCCTGTAGTCATTGGTGAAATAAATTACTGCTCACTGCTTAAGCACATACACATGTACCTTGTAGATCAAGAGATAAAAATGGTTTATCTAACGAGTCGTTCATATAATGAGAGTTCTACTATTTAAGATCCTGTTTTCAATTGTTTATAACTTTGAAAAACTTGAAGCATCTGGGCTGAAATATTCCATCGTGGACGGTTGTTCCAGGCCGAAGAAACAGTGGTGGGTTTTTGTTTGTTGTTTTAACTTTCAACAAAATCGGTTCAGAATGAGGCTAAATGAAAATATATTGTATTTGCCTCACCTCAGGCAGCTCCTGGAAGCAGTGGCATGTCCCCCATTTAGCTCCTACATGGAGGCGCAGGCCAGGCTGCTCTATGCAGTGCCCCGTCTGCAGGTGCCACCCCCGCATCTCCCATTGGCCATGGTTCCCGGCCAGTGGGAGCTACGGAGCTGGAGCCTGGGGCGGGGGAAGCGCGCGGAGCCCTCTGGCTGCCCCTACACGTAGGAGCCAGATGGGGGACGTGCCGCTGCTTCCGGGAGCTGTGCGGAGGCCACAGCAGGCAGGGAGCCTGCCTTAGCCCTGCTGCGCCGCTGACCGGACTTTGAACGGCCCAGTCAGTGGTGCTGACCAGAGCTGCCAGGGTCCCTTATTGACCAGACATTCTTGTAGAAAACCAGACACCTGGCAATCCCACCTGTCTACTGTTTTCCACTAAATCCTTTCTAAAAAATCTTGTTTTATATAAAGCTATGTAAACATTGTGACTCCATGTGACTCCATGATCTTATTGTCTTTACCCTTATCCTTCCTCCACTCCCCAGTGTATGTCATCTCTTAATTTTTGCACTAAATTAGTACTTGATCATGCAATAGGAATCATCCAGGAGGACACTTACACTTGCATGTTCACAGTTCCAAGACCAAGAGCCTTAGTTTATAAACTCTTTGGGGGAAGAACTAGGGGTGAGATCTGTGCTGCATCTCTGAGCAACCCTGAGAAGTGGCTTTTAGCCACCTTTGCTGCTCTGCAATCATGGGCTGCTCCAGGAGCTGAGAGGCCTCCAGTATAATTAAGATCACGCTTAGGTCCTGTTCAAGATATGGCAGACTCCCTAGAATCTCTTGCAGTTCTGCCTAGAATCATCACAGCACTGTACTCTGTGGTCCCAGCCTGATATGCTCCTCCCTCCTCCAGTCCCACTCCCAGCACACCCACAATGGCAGGGCTTGTCAGAGGGTCCTCAGAGAAGGCAGACTTATGCCTGCTTTCTTTAGATCTTACTGGGAAATCCTCCCCAGCAAGTCCTGGGGTTTGAGGGCCCCTTTACACTGCTCTGACTCTTTTAGTAAAGGGGCCAGAGCAGGGGTGAGAATCTCACTCTGAGCCTTCATCTGTTTTGTTAAGCAGCATGCATATCTATGATGTTATATAAATAATATGGTCATGTAGCACAAACGAGCTTAAAAACAATGACACTACCAACAGGAATGCTATAAACAAGTCATGGTAAGGAACAGTGGTCTGGACTGGTGATTGACTGATGTTATAGCCATAATAGCACCGTGAGTCAGGGAAAATATTGTTGG